AAAAAAAAAGTCGCTCAAATTATTCGCTTGCTTTTCTGCTTAATTTGAGGATTAAAGGAAAACCTAAAAGGTTCTTTCTTACATTGTTTTAGATACCGTACCGGTTGTCATACCGGTCTAGCCACCCGTACGCAGTATAATTTGTCGGACCGATAATATCGGCGGTATTATCGGATTAGTAAATACTACCTCCTTTTTAAAATAAGTGTCGTTTTGACTTTTTTGATTCATTCATTCTACTATGTATCTAGACATATTTATGTCTAGATACATAGCAAAATGGATGAATAAAAAAAGTCAAAACGACACTTATTTTGAAAAGGAGGGAGTATAATGCTATATATAAATATACATAAAAATATATAAAGTCAAATACAAAAAAGTAAAAATATAAATGACCATAATCATTAATGTCAACTTCTCAATAAAATGAAAATAAAATATTTTAACTACAAATTAAAATTTTATTATTTTATATTAAAAAAAAATAATTTTTTTTATTTTTTTATTGGCCGGTATTTTAGATCGGTATTTTGCAGTTTTTACGGTATAATCCCAGTACAAAACGGTATAATTGTAAGTCTAGTATTTTGAGTGTAATTATACCGTACCAATGGGATACCGGTATCACCGGCCGATACGATACATTATTTAAAACATTGCTTTCATCTCTAATAAATGTGAATTTTTTTTTTTTTTTAGCTCTTCTTTCTTGAGAGAGAAAATGTTCTCTGCCTTTTTGATCTCTTCAAGAAGAGAATTTTGTGTCAAATATTTGTCCTCCAAGAGTTGAAAACATATTCCTTTTTTCTTCTTCTTTTTTTTTTTTTTTTTTACCCTCACCAGATATGGATTACTTGTAAAGAAAAAAATGAAGTGTTGATGAAGGCGGGCATTTTGATGAGGGCTTTGTTATGTAAAATCAAGTGCCCATTCATCTGCTTCTGCAAGCCCTCTGCAGCAGCCCATCATCATCTTTACAGTCAACGGCCATTGAAATTGGACAACAACCCACATGTTGTTGTGCCCTCCTCAACAACAACAGAAGAACAGTTTGCTGTTGTTCCTAATGCCCTCGAGAAGTCATCCTCTGATGAGGGCTTGAAAGTGAACGGAGGAGATCAACAGGCTGAGAATACAGCAGTGCTCAAGAGCTGTTTGAAGAAATTCCCCAATGAGCCTGATGCCGCCACAGAGGCTGTGAAGAGAAGTGTAAGATGGATTGATGCTTCAGGACAACAACTTGCTGAGATCAAAGAGTTTGAGTCCAGGTGCTCTTTTTTTTTTTTTTTTTTTTTTCTTTTTACATGATCTAGTCGGTTAAGAGAGACCTTAAATAGTGGAATATCTCCAAGGATTTAGCGGTGGATAAGAGCGCTTGAAGGCTAGTAATCAATGTGCCAGAACCGTGACTTTTGCTCTTTTCTCTTTTGTTCTAATCTTTTCATTTTGTTTTGAGCCCTTTCGGTGTTTTCTTGGGTTTCATCTCTAGCCTACCCCAACTTGCTTGGGACAAAAAGACTATGTTGTTGATGTTGTTTTTTTTTT